TTGTAATTTTTTTTTGCTTTTGTTTTTAGGAAGGTTTATGTTTTTATTCTAAAACATAAAAATTAACTGTATGGTTACCTTCATATTTTTATCTTTTTTAATGCTCTTAGGCCCTTGTTCTCTTATTTAATCCCTTACTATGTGGCTTTCCAGGTTTTCCCCCCAGTATCCTTCACCGTCACCTATTGCCCAGTCATCAGTGAGTTTTTTCTGTTTTCTCTTGACTCCTCTTTCCAATTTTTAGTTGAATGGTTTTTCTACTTTGTAACAATACGTAGCATATTTCTACACTACAAAAAGCAAGTCCCACTTCTTCCCCACATTTGTTTTGGTCTTATATGTATACTTGCATACATATTTAAAGTTTTTACCATCAGTTCTTTTCCTGAAGTTTCCCAGTCATTAAATGAATTAGATGAAGATCACTCTCTAGTAGATTCTTCCAAAGGACAGATGATTGTAGAAGTCTAAGTTCTTGTATATTGAAAATCATTTTTTATAGCCTTAACATTTGAAGAAGTGGCTGGAAATTAAATCCTTGGTTCACATTTCTTTGTGTAAACTAAAAAAAAAAAAAATCTCCCCTACAGTTGCCTTGCTTGGTATGTTGGTTTTGAAAAGTATGGTGCCAGTTTAATTCTTTTGCCTTTTTAAGTTACTTGATTTTTTTTTTTTTTTTTTTTTTTTTTGGTCTGGAAGCCTTGGGGATTTTATCTTTATCTTTGAAAGCTAGTATCTTTACTAGGATGTCTTAGAGTTGATCATTCTGGGGTAATTTCCCCTAGTACCCAAGGAGTCCTTTCAATATATAGATTCAGCTCTTTTTCTGTTTCTAAACGTTTTCTTGGATTATAGCTTTAAATATTAACCTCTGCTTTGCTGTTGTATTTTCCTTCTTCAGGGATGCTGATAATATGAATATGTTTCTTCTTTGCTGGTCTTCCATTTCTACTTTTATGGAAGCATCGTGTTTACTTCTTTATGTTGTTTCATTCCCTTGGTTGTTTTCCTTTCTTTCTAAAATGCCCCTTATTGAGACTGTTCTCCACTTGACACTTTACAATTTAGTCATTTCTAAGATAACACTGTCTTTTCTTTTTTTCTCATTTTTTCCCTGATTTCAATCAAGTCTCTTTTTATTTATTCCTGTTCTTCTCCTCATGCATTTGTTCAAGTTTCTGACTCAAAGAGCTTTTTCACATCCTTAGATGCTTGTTTGAGTATATTTAATTCTGTTTGGAGTGTTGACTTATAATTTTATTCTAGTTCATGGTTGGTTTTCAGAGAGGCAGTGTGGTTCTTCATAGATATGTGGGAAATTTCTACTCCTGATTTTCTGGAGTAGTTCTGTATGGACTTGACTTTTCCCTTGTTCATGTTCCTGGGTATTTTATAATAGTCCCAGCTTAATAATACCCTCTTCTGTCAATACAGCAAAGTCCAGGCACTTTGGCAGTCTTTTGTTTTGGTGATGGGAGAAGGGTGAGCTCCCCTTCCCACACCCTGGTTTTATGACACTCTTTTGTTTTGCAGGACTTCACATTTTATCCCCTTTTCTTGGTTTGCCTTCATCTAATAGTCAAAGGGTGCTTTCTCCCTTCCTTTTTGCCTTTTTTCTCCCCTCCCCTAGAACTTTTGTGTTTCAAATGGTGCCTCCTTTAAATTGTGCCTGTCCCTTTAAATGGTCCTGGCCCTTGGAAATCACACCTGTTTGAATCCCTTTTCTGTAGTCCCTGCTAAAGGATCTGTCTGGATCCTTCCTAATATTTGCAGATCTAGATTTAATCTTTCTAGTGATTGCTCCAAATCAGTCTTGGGTCCCTTCACCAGCCTCTGTCTTCTGTCTGTTCCACAGTTTTTCTTGGTTTGCCTCTGCAGGAGAGACTGCACACTGCGATCAGTGACTTTTCTTTCTGTTACAGATATCTGCAGTTTCAACATTTCCTTCAGGGAGCACGGCATGATGGAGAATATACTTTTCCCCTTTTGTTTTTTTCCTTATTGTTCGGGGAAAACTTCAGATAAAAGTAGCTCTATGGCTATCGTTGTCCTCAGATACTCAGAAGTCTTACTTCCTCAAATTTTTAAAGGAATTTGTGTTAAGATTGATATTATTTCTCTCTTAAATGCTTGGTAGAATTCACTAGTGAAACCATCAGGGCCTGGAGTTTTCTTGCTAGAAAAGTTTTTGATAATGAACTCAATTTCTTTTAAAAATACAGAGCTGTTCAATTTTTCTATTTCTTCTTAAGTCAGTTTGAGTAAGCTAGATTTTTAAAGGAATTTGCCCATTTAATTTATATTATCAAGTATATTAGTTTGAAGTTGTTCATAATATTTCTTTATTCTCTTTTTTCATGTCTGTAGGATCTGTATATCTCCTCTTTCATCCCTGATATTTGTAATTTGTGTTTTCTCTCATTTTTTACCCCTTGATTCGTCTTGCCAGGGTATTATACATTTTGTTATTGTTTCTAACAGCAAATCTTGGCTTTGAAAATTGTCTCTATTGCTTGTATGTCTTACCTTTATTATTTCTTTGCTCCTACGTACTTTGGGTTTAATTTGTCCACTTTTTTTCAGCTTCTTCAGATAAAAAATTAAAGTTTTTACTTTAAATCCTTTTTCTTTCTAATTAGGTATTAAAAGTAATAAATTTCCCTGTAAGGTCTGGCTGAGCAAGGGAAGGGGGCCACATATTCACTTGCAACTTGCAACTTCTCCAAATGATAGGGACTTTTTAAAAAGGGATCTTGGTATGATCCACCCTCTAACCATAGAGCAAGCTTCCCTGCTTTGCACCAGGAGTGACACCGGAAGGCAAAGCGGAAGAGGCCAGAGCTAGGCTGCACCACCTATGAGCTGTCTGGCCTTAGGCAAAGCACTTCATGCTCTGGGCTACACGGTCCTCATCCACAATAGACAGTATAAAGCCCAGGGCTGCTGTTTATGTAAATGGTCCCCCCTGGAGTTGTGCAGGGCACATTGTGCATAGCCACGAACAGAGGCTTTGACAAAGCCTGCTTTGCAGAGATGCAGTGAGCATTTCATGTGTTAGTGTATGAACAACTACCGTGGGGTCCAACAAGTGAGACAGAGTGAATCAGTCATGGTACATCCATTCAGTGGAACACCCCACAGCCATGAAAACTCATGACTGAGATCTCTGTTTACTGAGGCAGAAAGCTCTCATGCTTTATTATGAATCGAACAATGCAACCCACAGAATACCAAGGATAATGTGATCCAGTTTCCATCAACACAAATACAGGTATACACGCATGGAAAATTCTGGCAGGAGAACTCCATATGTTGTCAGATTGAAGAGTTTTTCCTTTGTTAATATTTCCACATTTTTCTACAATGAATATGCTTTCAATTTGAAATAAGAAAAAAATAACAATAAAATTTATTTTCAGTTGGCTTTTCCTTTCTATGACTCCTCTCTAAGCTTCATCTATAAAATGGAAATAATGATGAAAAGAGTAACAGTAGTACTAAAGATCTCCAATCTCATTCAACACCTGAGGTGGGAATTAGCTCATTTGTTACATGGAGGAGGATGCAGATTCTCAGAGAGGACACAGCTCCCACAGCAAAGGTAATGCTGTCTCCTCATGGGGCCATAGTGGTTTAATTTGAGGAAGGAGCATGTTTTGTGAAGTGCCCACAGTGCGCAGCAGGATGGAATGGTCAGAGCATGGCCTGGATTAAATCCAGCTCTGTTCCTTCCAGCCTGTGTGACCTCACTTTCTAAGCCTCAGCTTCCTTATCTGTAAAATGGGGGTAGCAAAAGTGCCACCTTGGAGGGCTGAGCCGAGGATCACATGAGACAGTTCCTGCCCACAGTGGGTGCCTGATGACTGAGAGCTTTGATCACATTAAAATCCTCTGGTCCAGCTCTGGTCCTGTAATTTCAGCAGGGACTGTCTCTATCTCTGACATACATTATCCAGAGCATGGTGGACCCTTAGTGGTCATGAAGCAGAGCTTGGCCATCAGCTCCCTACTCTGATGTCCACACCCACCACCCTGTTCAGCTTGGTGGGTCAGAGGCATGCTTCCCTATCTGTGCACATCAGGCAAAAGCAGCCACACCCCAGACTAGGATTCTCAGTGGAGGCAGCGTGGCCCCAGGGGTGGTTGGGGTTGTCACAACCAATGAGGAGCATGAACGGCAGCGTATGGATGGAGGCCAGGGAGGCTGGGCTCCCTGTGATGTCCCCAACAAACTGTCCCAACAGACATTCTTGTAGGTGAAAAACCTATTTAGACTTATTGGAGGTTAGAGTCTAATGGTGCTATGTAAATATAAACTATTTTTTTGTATTTTTTAATATACAATGAATTTTCCCAGAATTCAAACACCACGTGAATCAAGGGAAGAGTTATTCACCATTTTGCACAATCACCTCAGCAGCAATAACTCTACCTGTGGTGTGTTTGTTACAGACACATGTCACTTTACACTTAAGAATGTCACTGATGGGGATTCTACATCTAGAGCAAGGAAAGGGAAAGAGGCTCTCCAAGCAGAGGGAAGGATATGTGCAAAGGCCCTGGGGTTTGAGGGAGGGAGCGATGTGGCAGAAGTGAAACCAGACCACAGGGGTGGGGGGCAGGGCCAGCATGGGAGAATGAGGGGGTTGGTGAGGCCACAGGGGCCAGGCAGGAGAGGGCCCTGGGGGCCACATGGAAGGTTCAGCTCTATCAGAAGCTAGAAAAGGCTGTTCATAAGGGAGGGGCATGTTCCAGTGTGCATTTTGAAAAAATCACTCTGCAGGGTAGTAGTGCATGTAACTGGGGGAAGGGTAGTGGAGGCAAGGCAGCCAGTGAAAGCTAAGGCGGCCGTCCAGGTGAGCAGTGGTTGTGGTCTGGGCTGGTGATTCCCTCCCTGCAGCCTGGTTTGTGGATGGACAGTGGGGCCCTGTCCTGAGACTCGAATCCAGGAGAACAATGAACTGAGGAGAAAGGCTGTAGTTTCACTTTGGCAAACTTACCAGACTCTGCCACCTCGGCGATGGGCACGCCCTGCTCATATGCCATGAAGCCCAGGACCGAGAAGATGGCAAACCCGGCCACGAAGCTGGTGCCGCTGTTCAGGCAACAGAGCAGGATGCAGTCCCTGTGAGGGAGCAGCGAGAAGGGCTCGGGTCAGCGGGCGGGAGGGACAGGTGCACTGCTGGAACATTCTGTCTGAGCACCATGGCCGTCCTGTGGGGCAGAGTGGCCCCATTGCCTGAGGAAGCCCTCATGGTTCAGAGAGGGGTAGCTGGCTGGCCCATGGTCACAAAGCTTCTCCTGCATTTCTAGAAGATAAAATAGGTCATGGACCAGAAGCAGGGAGAGGGAGTAGGAGGGAAGGGAGGCTGGCAAGTGGGAAAATGCACAACCAGTAAGAAAGTGCTTGGAGGCAAACCAACACTCCTCCAAATTCCTGGCAGGAGAGAAAACCAAGGAAAGCAAGAGAGGACACAAGCCTCTGAGAGAAAGGGCTGCTTCTCAGCCAGTGGAGCAACCTCGGGAGACACTGCTCCTGGCCAAGCTCTTTATGGGAGCAGCGTCTCTCAAACCCCACTGCTTAGCCTCTGCTCTGCTGCTGTGAGGGGCAGCTCCTTCCAGCCCAGACTCTCATGAGAGGATTTACCAGAGCAGTGACTGTCCCCTGCTCTTGGGAAGGGCTCACCAGCAAAGAAGCACCAGTATAAAGCTGTGACCCAGGAGAAATCAGACTACAAGCGACAGGGCTTTGCCAAGATGAAGAAGGAACCCCCAAGCTCCAGCTGTGCAGTCTCGCACGGCTGGGTCAGGGAATCAGCCTCTTGGGGTCTCAGCCGCTGCAGAGCATGCATGCGGGAGTCAGGCTAACAATACCTGGGATGCTCCACTTTAAAGGGAGGGGACCAGGTGGTCTGTCCAATCTCCTGCCCGAGCCTGGAGCGTCCCTGGGGTGGTGGTGAGCCAGCCTTTGCTCCTGACCTAGAGAGCAGGACCGGTCACTTGACTCCATGGTGCCTTCTCTTCCCAGATGGCTCTTGATGCTCACAGTGTAAGAAGTTCTTCAAGTGGTGTTTGACCCAAATCCACCCTCTCTGGTAAGTTTTAGCTCTACCCTCTCAGACAGCCTGGAGATCTGAATATAGTGGCCCTATATCCTCTTGAGATTTTAGTTTGCTCTGTTAAACTTCCCAGTTCTCTTGCCAGTGTTCCTCATCCTGCTCGCGATCCGAAATTCACTCCAGCTTGTCCAGCCCCCCTTCAAATGTCACATCCAGGACTGAGCACCAAACTCATGAACACAGCAAGACTCTCACCTCTTCTTTTCCTGACACCGTACTTCTTGTAATGTAACCAAAGGTTACACTAATGTTGGTGACTGTGACCCCCAGTTGCCTGGAATTGCCCATGGGAATCAAGGGCATAGTGGACAGAGCATTAAACTGGGGGTCAGGAGCCTTGGGTTCCAAATCTCCCCGCAGTTTCTTCTCTCTGGACCTGATCTTACCAGCTATGTGACAAGGTGGCTTGGATAAGAGGATCTCTTGGGCCTTGTGATCGATTAAATCATTTCCAGCAATTAGTCACTCTCATACCATCTTTCTTGGAACGAAGTCTACTTCCCTGCCCCACTGACTTTGGGTTCAGTCACATGACTTGCTTTAGCAAATTGTGACACAAACAGAGGCTTGAGATGTGCTTGTACAATTGGACTTGTCCCTTATCCCTTCTGTGATCTACCATGAGGACTTCTCCAGGGACGCTGCTGTCTCCACAGCCTAGACCCCAGAATGCACACATGGAGCAAGCTTGAGCCTGGCATGGACCCTGGAGCCAAACCTGCCCAACCCACAGCCTGAAGGAGAGTGTCCCCAACTGACCAGCATACTTGTGAGCAATAAAAGCAAATGCTTTTTGTGGTAAGCCACTGAATTCTGGGGCTGCTTGTTACACAGCATTTATGTGGCAGTTAGTGACTGATACAGGTCCCTTTACAGAATTCTTCAGGCACTGTGGACATAGGCTGGGCTGGCAGTCCTGGAAAGTTTATCTGCAAGCCTGATCACCTCCTCTCTAAGGGGAATTCAGCTTAGCCCAGGAGGGCAAAGTTATTCCTGAGGTTGGGATAAATCTGCCCTGCATGCCCATTTCCTGCCTCTGACTTATATTTGAAACAAGGTGGCACTAGCAAGGACAGTGTTTTTCTTCACAGCCTCTCCAATCTGGAATTCTCCTGTGTTATTTGGACATGCAGTGTCCAACATCATGTCACTGAATCCCGAGGCCCCTTGCAGGCACCCCTTGGGCTCTCCGTCATCTGCTGGTGAAGGCAGGATGTGAATCCAGTTGTCTCAGACACCAAAGCCCATGCTTTTTCTAGGAGCTACACAGAAACAGAGCTCCCTAAGAACTCAGATTTCCAAATCCTGACTTTTGGAAAATCACCTTAGGGCATCCATGTGGTTGTTGAAAACAAATGTCCCTTATTGCAAGGTCCCCATCTTTCCCCAGAGGCCTTGAGTGACTTCCTCACACCACAGGGGGACAGAGGCTCTGAGTGGACGTAGAGTGCCTTCCAGCCCTGCGCCTGCACCCCCTCCTTCGAGCACCCCCACCTCCCAGCCGAGGGAGCTGAGCAGCCTGTGTTCTCAAGTGAGGATTTTCCTCGCCTGGTTTGCTCCAACCCCATTCCTCTAATTCCTTCCCCACTGGGCACCTTCTAGGTGAAAAGCTGTGTAACAAGCGCTTTGAAGTTGGCAGGAGCTGAGCTGGGCTTTGAAGACCTCCAGAGCTATTATGCTGTCAGAAGAGAGGGTATTAATTTACTCCCTCTGAGTTGGGAAGATCTGCTCATGGAACAATTTGGAAACAGAAATAAAAAGAATCCTAGGATTTTGCAAGGTCACCTAGGGGATGTGATTTCTGCTGATGGGAGGCGGGGGCAACTGCCTGTTGGACAGGGAGGCAGAAGGGATCGGGGGCAGTCAGTATACTTCACCCACGTGCTCAGTGGGGAAGAAAGTTGCCACTTCCCTGAGACACAGCCTGATGACAAGGCAGTCTTGGCCAAATCCTTGTTGACTGAAGTAGTTGGCAAAGAACGGGCCGGGCCTGGGAGTGAGGAATAGGGGTGCAGGAGACAGAAAGGCCCAGATTCCAAGCCACGTTCCATCACTGGCAATGTGAACACGAGCAAGTGATGTCCCCCAGGCCTCAGTTTCTGCATCAACATAATGGCGCGGCTCCCTCCTTGCTTCCTTAGACGTCAGCCAGTGCTAGCCCAGGCTCGCGGGATGGTGGTGAACCAGAAGACCCAGCCTGCATCCTCATGGAGCTGACGGCTGAGCTGGTGGTGATGGACAGTGACCAAGAGATTTCCACAAGGCCCAGCACAGACGGCCCTGCGCTGAATGCTGGCTGCTGATGTGCTGACGGCTGTTTGCAGGCACCATCCCGCTCCAAATCCCAAGAGGGTCACCCTCAAGCCGGACCAGAGGTCTGCTGTGCTGCTCTCCCTGTCCCCGTGCCCTTCTCGTCCACGTTCTATTGTGTCCCGTGGCTGACAGTGCTTTACCTCTCACCCCACCAGACCCACCTCCCGTGAATGCCTTGAAGGACAAAAGGATCTTCTGGACAATCTGGTCTGACTTCCCCACTTTCTAGCATCGCTCTGTCCAGCCGTTCCCAATGACCTCTCTGCCCAACGCCCCAGGGACAGCAGAACTTGCTGCCTAATGACGCACGGGCTTCTCCAGGGCCCTTGCCTCCAGCATGTTGGACCTGCCGACTTTCACTGCCTCGGTTTCCCCAAGTTGCAACCTCTATAGACTGGAGCTGTGTGTCTGTCCCAAGGCGGTGATTCCGGCGTCTCGCACTCAGTGGACACACAGTACACGTAGTCGACTTAATGAATGGGTTGGTAATGGGATCACAAAGCTGGCTTTCAGAGAGGACGCAGCAGAGGGCTGGGGTGGAGAGCAGGAGACTGCGGCCAGGGTCCGGGCTCCACCACATCTAGCTGGGGGCACGATATCCACAGGCCCCCATTTCCCTATCTCGCCGGTGGGGACAATGTGGGAGGGACTTCGTCTTTGACAAGGGTTCTCTGAAATGAGGCTCCCACTTGACTGACACAGTAACTGAGTGATGTGGTTATATGATGTCCAGGTTCCAGTCCCACCAGCAGAGAGTGACACGTCCCCCTCAGCGCACTCTCACCTGCATAGAATACAGTTTGTCCTTAGACCGCAGCTAATGTGCTAGTTGAGGAAAACAAGCTCGTTATTTTAAAAGTACGTTGCTGATTTTTCTACTGGTGTTTCAGCATTTTTCATATGGATCTGCTTGTACTCTTTACATGTTAGAGGTACAAGCCCTTTGAGTTTCATAGTATATTTTGTTAGCAGGCCCTTTACTTTTGTAGATGATTTTCATAACATTTTCTTCGGGGATGTAATACAGAAGGTATGTAGATAATATTCGTATTAATGTGATTTTTTTAAGAATCAGAAAAGCAAGAGTGAAGACAAGACAAAACAAAACATTTGCACTGTACAGGCAGCTACAGGTGGACAAAAACCTGCCTCCCCATCTGTGACATCTCAGTTCCTCTCTTCAGAGGCAGCTCTTTTTAATAGTTTCCTGTATGTCTTTCCAGAAATTTTAGAAGTTCTAGAAATGT